CTTACCATTTTGATTAACACTTGTAAATGAAGGTGTTTGTTTATTTAAACATTATTAAAAATAAATAAACATTATGGGGGGTTGGAGAACTGAAGGTCATAGGCAAGTCGATAGGAATTCCCAGGCTTCCCTCATACATAACCTGAGTGATGACTACTCCAAGAGCTGAGAAAAGTTGAGAAATTCCGGGGAAAAGCAAGAGGAATGACAGTCAGGCAACTACAGAGTAGATTTCACCTTCAGTGATCAAATAAGAATACAGTCACACAGTATTTTTAAAATAAAGAGTGAGGTATGATATATGGCAAAGAGTTATAAAAAATTAGGGTATATTTTGATGATAAAAAAATACAAATGGGGACCGGCCGAGTGGCGCGATGGTTAAGAGCTGGCTTGGGATGCCAGAGAGCCCCAGTTCGGATCCCACATATGAGGGCCAGTGACACTGCCCTCTATAGCTAAGATGCTGAACAACTGCTCAACCTGGAGATGGGCTACCGTGAGTCGCCAGCGACGGCGTAGGCTGCAGCCTCTGTGACAGTGGGTTGCCATGGGCTACCATGTGTGGCCAGCAGCCAGTGTGAGCGGCCAGCAGCCAGCGTGAGCGGCCATCCAGAAGCTGGCGACTGATCTGCCTCGCCTGGGAAGAGCACAATGTTGGTGCCAACTTGGGCCAGTGAAGCAACGTCCTCCACAACTAGACTGAAGAACAAAAGGACAGCAACTTGTCTGTTCCCCTTCCCCCCAATTCCCCAGCGCTGTTCCCATCCCCCCAATTCCCCAATAAAAATCTTTAAAAAAAAAAAAACAAATGTAACTGAATGCAAGTAACTTATTCTTCACTATAGACCACAATCCTGGCACCATCACAAATTAAATAATTTCTAATTAACACAGCTTTTTATGGTCCGTGTTTAAACAATGACGGAAATTAAAATGATCTAAATTTAACCCCTTAAAAGTCAGAAAAGAATAACTATTGCATTGTTCCATACACCTAAAACTAATAATAAATTTTTTTTAAAAAGTCAGAAAATAAAAAAAATTCAAGTTTAATAGCCATATATAAAGGCTCACTTAATCACAGTAAAGTGTGGGAATAAGTGTTTATAAGTAATTACACAGAAGTTACGATCACTCACCTTATTTAAATACAGAAAGAGATGAACAGAAAATGAAGGCAGCCGTTTGTTGACTAAAAGAATTCGAGTTTGGAAGGGATGTTATGGATTGCTTATTATAATAATTTTACTGGTGAACATTTCTATTTCAGAGCTGAACTAAATTTTGTTGTAGCCTAAATAATGAAAGGTATAGTTAGGTGAACTCTAACTTACAGCCCTGTACAGTACGCGAGAAGGCTGGCTATACCAGTCAGGGTCCAATTAGGAGACAGGAACACCACCAGTAATTTGCATAAGGAAAATTTAATATAAATAATTATCCACTAGTAAAAAAGGTGGTTAACTACCAAAAGAGGTAAAAAAAGGAGCAGTTTAGGGGTGATCAAGTAGCAACTGCAGAACACAGCGATTGCCTGCAGAGCTGAAGCACAGTGAATAAGGCAGGAAGTACACATGCAGAAGAGCCGTCACTCCCAGCATGAGTCAGCTATCTTTGGACAGGTTGTTGACTCCCACAGGCACTGTGCTGGTGACAAAGACACTTGCTATAGAGTGTGTAGGCCCCAGAGGGGGAGGGTTACAGGCAGTCTTTGGGTGTTGTCTCCCGGAGGGCAGAGGAGCTTATGAGAAGATTTAGACTACAGCTTAGCCCTAAGATAAAGGCTACTGCCTACTAGTCTGGGAAGTGCCCCATGGAAAGCAGCACTCTGGGAAGTGGAAGCAAAGTCCGTTCCTGCTGTTCTGCCTGTGTAGGATCCCTCTAGTCTCTTAAATTGACAAACCCTAACATCAAGTCAGCTGTCTGGTGTCCACTTCTGGTAACGTAAGAAATATCAAAGGACCATTTGAAGAAGAGTGGCCTTAAAATTAATAGTTAGCCTGCTGTTACTTCCACCATTGTTGGTTGTGGAAATTCATAAAGGTGCCATCTGTAGAAGGTCATATGTTTACGCTGACAGTAACAAATAATAATTTCTTGGTTCTTATTTCTAAATTTGGTTACCTATTATATCATTCTGACTTCCAACTATTTACCAAGAAATCATGCTGGTGGCATTATTTACCAAAGTCATTTCTTATTGAGGTATAGATACAGCACTTAAACTTTAAGTGCACAACTCAATAAATTTTTACACATATATACACTCACGTAGCTACCACCCAAGACCAGATACTAAAGTCTATTACCAACACCCTGGAAACCTAATTCTTGTTCTGGCAAAGCAGTAATCATTTATATTTTAAATGTTCCCTTAAAAAATCTTTACTCATTATCTTATGTATTTAGTATAACTAATATAAACTACAAAGAAAAATAATAAAGCATCCTTTTGTAGTGAAAACTAAGCATGCAAGAAGTTACTGTTAGTTTAAGAATATTTAATTTTTCATTCTACATTTCTTTCTAAAGTTGTCAAAGCACTCTAGAAATGATTGCGCTACTCTTCTTTCTGTGTGAGCTGATGATAATTAGCAATTTCTCATTATTTCAGAGGAAAAAGGACTGAAATATAAAGAACGCATACAACCTCAAATATCCCTCTGCACTTTTTCATAGAAATAGAGCTGGAATTCAAGTTTTTGAGAATAAATTATTTTCCACTAATACCAAACAGTCCCCTTAATGTGAGAAAATTCTACATGTATGCAAAATAATAACAACAAATGCCTAGCAATAATTTGGGTTGCTAAGTAAGTTTAATACATGCAAAACCAAAATTTTAAGTATATAATACACTGTTTTCTTCAAAACTCATAGAAATTAACATATTAATGAATGTAAGACATTTTTACTATATCATTTTATTGCAAATAGTGAAAGGAAAGTAACACATTAAATATGAAAAGCAGTTTTCCCTTGTATTTTAAGACAACATTTGGATTTTAGAACTGTTCAAACTCTTCGGTTGAATAAATTTAACCAATTAACCAGTATGAGCTCAGTAATTCAAGAGGCTCAAGAAATTTGATATTATAAGTTTTCCCTTATCCCCACGTATTAGTAGGTTTCTGAAAACCTATTGTAATATTTTACATTATTATCATATAGAATTTAAAAATTGTCATTTTGAAGTTTGGCACATTCAACTACATAGTTTATTTTTTTCCTACTATCTTTCCATCACAAGTCAAAAGCCTTTGAACTTAGATTAGGCCTCGTAGCCTGAAGGTGGTGAGTGTTTTTCCAGGTTTTCAGATTTTTTTTTAAATGCCTGCTTCCACTGGACTCTGTTCAATTTTTTCTAATGGGAAGCATACTTTAAAAAGCCTTGATTTTATGTTTTTAATATATTATTTTACTTTATTGCTCTTCCCTGAGAGCACTTACAACCAACTTATTTTTAAAAGTTTTATATTTGGTAATATTTTGTTGGTTCTTTGGTTCCTGTTTTAATGGGCTTTCCAAAATTAAACGAATTTGCAGATTTCCCAAACAAACATATCCGTGCAGGACAGGACAGTGCAATACTGAAATTAAGTAATACAATGCAAATGCTTTCTGCATTACCCATTTGATGCATAGAAAGTGAGGAAGATTGCCAATGGGTTCATTTTAAGGAGGAAACTACCATTTTGAAATAAAATACAAAGTTTACTACATAGACCATAATTTATTCTGAATTATGTTCAATTTGGGAGTATCCTCTTGCATTTATACATAAGGAAATGATGTCAGGAGCTGACCTATTATTTTCAAAGACAAAGGTTATCACACACAAGTTACTGTTTCTAGCTTATATGTTCACTTCAAATTGTCTTAATGAATCAACACTGTACAGTTTCATGAAACGTACATGTTTAAAGTGTCCAAAAAGAAGAATGCTGTATTTAACATTTGGCCACCTTAAGCGTAATGCCTCTGGATGGATGCTACCCCTACTTCCTTCATCCTCGCTGAGGAAGGATATTTGGTCACACTTACTCCCACACACACAGCTGAGTTATTCGCCCTGATCTCAGGTCTCTTCTTTCCATCTCCCATCTAGTTTTTATTATTATTCCAGGTTTCTTCCTCTTCCTTCCTTCCTCCCCACCCACTCAAACCAACCACCCACTGAAATCCTGAGTTCTGCTCGTCAGGAGTTTTTTACAATTAGCACTTTCCCCCCATTTCCCTTCAGAAATACTTTTGCATGCCTTATTTCTCCTCAGAGATCACTTGCTCACCTCAGTTCTACAATCCTTCTCCAACCTCTACTTATCCCTACAGAGGTTTAGACCATTTCCTGCTCCTCCATTTCTCTTTCCATAACAAAATATTTCTTTGGAAGGCGCGGCCAAGAATCCCAAAAAAGCAAATTCCGAGAACCAGTGCAGTAACAGGGCTTTGAATTAGATGAGAAATTTTACAACGCTATGGTAATGCTGATGTGCAGTATGGTTAGTGCCTAGCTAACCGCATTTCCATTTGTAATGTGGAAGTACTGCCAAGAACTTGAATCAAGCTTACGTATAACAGCGCTTGTTACCTAGGATTCTATGCTGTTACACAGCTCTTCTGAATGACCCGTGATAATTGGGATGTGAAGTTTGATATTGTGTACAAGTGTCTGTAGACTCTAGCAAGCATGGAAGGCAATATACTAAAAAGTAATATTATAGCTATCAATTTCTAAACAGGTTTTTGTAATAAATTAGATAAGCGATGTGAAAATGCACCTCACATATTTTCACTTTTTGACTTCTGATTGTTTTCACTTAATTTTCAATACTAAAATGTCATTATTAACCTTTGTATTCTGTAACATAACCCGTTATTCATTCAATAAATATTCATTCAATAAATATTCACACAATAAATATTTACTAAAGAGCAACCGTGTGCCAAACACAGTTCAGCATAAATGATCAATAAAGCCTTGATTTACAACTTACCATGGGCCATGCGATGGAACCAATAGTAGCCAAAGTCAACGCCTAAGAAAGTCAAATACCAAGTCCATGGGGAATCCCAAGGCAAGCTGAGGAGCCTGTAGTTCTCCCAAACATAAATGTAACTGGTCAGTTCAATGCTCCTGGAAAACAAACTGGAAAAATAAAATCCACAAGCAATGATTATACTACATGTAGAAGTAAAATTATGCTAAAACATTTTCAATAACATTTAAGTTTTAATATATGCATGTATTATGATAACATTCTTCTGCCCTTTGTTGTTTCTTACTACTCTGTCATGCCTTTTAAAAGGCTCAGTTTCCTTGGTATCAAAATAATTCATTTATTTCCTTTTGTTTCATAGGTATTTGTTTCACGAATGCCACCTATTTGCACCCTCAATTTCATGGAATTTAGGATGCCATTCCTTTTTTTGTGTCTCTTAAAATGCTTTTTGTGGAACCCATACAACATAAATGTGACAAAATTACAACTTCCTTTCTGTGTTTGTCCTTTCTAAATCTTAATTATTTAAAAGAACACAGTAGGGGTGCTTTTAAAAAGAAGTATAACAAAGCAGAAAATTATAATTAGCCTATTTTAAAAGGGGACTGCAAATTGCCTACTGTCTTAAAAGATGTTGCTCCTGTAATATTTGCCTTTAAAGTTGCTTCTAGCTAATTATTCTTTCGCTTTGCTCCTTCTTTCCTCTCTCTCTCTCTCCTCTCTCTCTCTCTCTCTTTCCTCTCTCTCTCTCTATTGCACGCGCGCACGCATGCACGTGTACACGTGCGCACACACACACACGCACACGTGCGCACACACACACACACACACACACACTTTTGATGCTTTTAGATGTTATTCTTAGGATTACAAATTGGATACTCATAGCATTTCAATATTTTTCATAGTAATATAAACAACAGCTCTCAAAATATAAGTGAATAATATTCCCCTAGAAATAAAGTATACAAACCTAGTTAAAATAAACAATTGTTTTTAAAACTCAGGCAATACAATATGTCTTGCCGCCCATTGTATCAAGTTTCTGTAAATTCTTATTTCAAGAACTTTCAAAAACTTTCAAAAAGTACACAAAATATGCTTCAATTTTATAAAATGTGGTATTGTTTCTTTGAATTTTCTGTGATCAAATTTAAGATCAGACTCAAGATAATTTTTCCTTTTATCATTTTTATAATTTGATTGAAGTAACTTTTTCTTTTATATTGATCATTAATAATATGGAAAACAAATTGAGAATTCTACCTAATAAAGATTTATTGATAAACCATTAACAAGTGAGGAAATTCATAAATATTCTAATTTTAAATAAAAGTTGAAGCAGCTTAAGTATATTGTTTAAATTTATCATTTTAATAGTATTTCCCTTTACGCGGTCAGCTTTCATGAGTTAGTATGTTATTAGATCTTTTGGAAACCCGTGCCTTTAATTTTAACGTACTTTTGATTTAATTATAATATGAATTTATGATTTCATAACTATAAGATAGTCTCATATTTTGAACACTTCAAGGTATTATTTAATCTGTAAAATAAAACAGTAGGCTACTTTAACAACAGCATTTATATAAATAACTAATAGAAATGCCAAGCGCCTACACTTTTGGCAAGGACTACACATCATCATATCTTAAAATCCAGTTTTCAATTTGAGATTACTGTTGGTTGGTGAATTTCACCCTGTACCTAGAGGGCAAGAAATTACCTAAGAAAAGAGACAAACCACTTCAGATAGGTAGGTGGCAGGTTTAATAAACAAGGAAAGTTATATAGGAGGTTTGCCTTGAGCAACTGCAAGACCAGTATCTCCGTCCACCCCCCTATTACCCTCCCCCACCAAGAATCTTAAAATTTATGCAGGCTTACATCGGAGATATTGTGAGTTTCATGCCAGACTACCGCAATAATGCGAGGCAGAACCTTTTTGCTGCCGGAAGGTCTTGCCTTAAACTTGTAAAAATACTTAACACCTGTGACGTGCAATAACGTGACGCAATAAAACAAGGTATGCCTGTGTAGAGGCCTTAACTAGACTCAGTCATGTATTCAATTCAGGTGGTCTCAACAACACATGAACTCTATCAAGGCTATATCCCTGAAACAGCTGCCAGTGTGGGACTGGTAGGCAGAACATATATTCTAAGGATGGGTAATGGGGTAAGGAGCCAGGGTCCAGTTCATGGGCCAATCAGCATTCCTCTCAATGACCTCCTTCAATAGTTATATGGCTGGAAACATCATTTTTGTCCCTGAGTGCCAGTCCATGATCAGAAAGAAGTGCCTGCCCAGAACTCCTGTCTCAACCTGGGTCACACTCTGGATACCCCAGAATCCCTTGTTAAAGTGTTCCAAGCCTACTTGCAGCACCTACATGGGCCTCTTTCCGGGTCAAATCCTTCACAAGGCTGACCTGTGCAGGTGTGTGAACTCCTGGATGTCACACAGTATTCAAGCGTGTCTATTTTTGGACCTGTAGACAGAGCTGGAACAAGCAGTCTAGGATGTCCACACACGTGTGCATAAGGCCCCTCATGACACAGGACAGGACATGGGCCGGGGGCTCCCACGTTGTTTTGGAATGATGAGGAATCCAAGAATCTAAACTTACCATTTGTCTTCCAATCCATGTATCTTGGCTATTGTAAATAGCGCTGCAGTGAATACAGAGGTGCAAAACTTTTTGAATTAGTGTTTTGGGTTTATTTGGATAAATACCCAGAAGTGGAATATAAGGTAGTTCTACTTTTAACTTTTTTGATGAATCTCCAAACTATTTCCCATAGGGAATATAGTCAAGAATATGGTAATAACTATGTATAGTTCCAGGTGGGTACTAGACTAATCGGGGGGAATCACTTCATAAATTATATGTGTCTAACCACTGTGCCATTCACCAGAAACTCACATAAAATAATGTGAATGTCAACTGCAATTGAAAAATAAAAATAATTAAAAATAAATAAATCTTTTCTTCCAATTTGTTATCCAGGTTATTTATTAAAGTAGGGGGATAGAGCAAATTTTATTTTAAAGAATATTAGCTTGGTTGGTAACTGTTATATATGTAGACTAGGGCTTCTAAAGCATCATTATTGATATTTGGACAAAATGATGTTTTTGTAGGGTTCTTTCCTATAGAAACTATTACTCAAATTATGAAATCTTAAAATTGCTCCCTAATTACCCATTAGTAAAGGGTTAACCATATAAAATTCAACTTTTAGGTTAAGAAATGGTAAATAATATCAATTTTATATGATTAAACCTAATAATTTCTCTAAAATGAGGATTCTAAATCTTGACTCTACTGCCACTTTGGCCAGATAATTCTTTGTTGCAAGGGACTGTCCTCTGAATTGCAGACTATTTAGTGCATACCAGGCCTCTATTTTCCAGATACTACTAGCACAGCCCTCTATTCAAGTTGTGACAACAAAAGTTCCAAATATCTCCCGAGGGGAAAAATTGCCTCAGTCAATAATCCTAAAAAACCATGATCCAGAAAGAAAATTAAAACTTAGAAAATTGAAATAATCTACAGCTTTTTATCTAAGCTTTAGTATCTGTTGTCAAAACTGATCCATTCAAGGGTTCATTCAATCTTTCGATAAATTCATGTTGAGAGCCTACTAGGTACCAGGGACAGCACAAGAGTAGGAGCGGACACGCTGGTGGGCAGGGAAAACCTCATCAATCACCAGCCTCATCAATGTCCCATCAGTTCAGCATCTTTCACTAAAGCTGCTATCTTTCTTGTCATTTCCAGTGACAACTAAAATGGGTTTTAAGATACCAAGACTTCAATAAAAGAGGGTCCCTGGAAAACCTCTATTTGTAACACAAAGAGAACCTGCCTGCAATTGAAATACTTTTTTATTTCCTGTACAGGTGCCAGAACTTAAGCAGACACCCAATTTATTACTTTGTCAACTTACTTATTAGGCTTGACACAAATCGAGCTGAAATACGCCTGACATACTACGGTCCAGGCTTTTTTTTTTTTTTTTTCTTCACACTTTAGCACGAAGCCAAACTTTCCTCAAGGCGAAGGGGAAGAGGCGAGAAGCTGTGGGAGTTCAATTCCCTGCTTTCTATCAGCAAGACGAATATGATCATCTTCCATCATAAATGGGAAAAAACAGCCACGGACTGCCCACAACTCAAAACAATTCAGCAAAAGGATACAGCTGGGAAATGATTATCAAGCTCTGGAAAACCCTTGATTGCAGGAAATAGCACCTACATTTTCAAAAATGTTCCCACCAGACCTTGAATCATAAACCAAAGCTCCTTGCTCTTTCTCTTCCAAATTCCTTCATCTTCTCCCAGCCCTACTCTCCCCACTCCCGCACCACCCCCACCCCAGCATATGACTCTGTGCTCTGGAATTCAAACTTCAACTCTGTAAACCCCATCCTGTGGGAAGTGACATGTGTAATATGTATGTAAATAGTGAGCTTACTGTATCATGTGGAGAGTGAATGGGGTAATACAGGGGCTTTCAATAACTAAATACTAGATCCCTTTTATTCATTAAGTCTGAATGCAAGACCAAAAAAAAAGTGATCTAAATATAAAGAGACATTAGAATCCTCTAATCAATAATCCTCTGTATATAGAGAGGCTTTCCTTCCATTGTCCTACTTTCTTTATAAATTCCCCCTAAATAGCTATTTTCTCTTGGGTCTTAAGTATGTCTTTTGGCAAACGAAAAGTACCCTAATTCTTTATGTGTTTATATAACATATTCTCCCAACACTAGAAATTTGTCCTGTCAATATTTAGTTACTATAAAACCTGGTAAGGCACTAAATTGGTATTCCAGTATGATCCTGGATTTTTTTTAAAGATAAAGTTAATTTATAGGGTTGAGACCTTAAAATAATAAATTACAATAAATATTATTTGGGGGTTGAGCTTATTAATGAAAGTTCGTTAGTTTTCAGTCATCTCAATTTGAATGTACCTATCATCAAAAATAAAAAGGAAATGTTGGGCATATCACTCACCCTTTCAGTATTTCAGGGCTAATTTAAGATATGACAGCATTAGTTTGAATGGACTCTAAAATGATCTAGTTCTCAAATACTCTCATGTTTTAATCATACAAATGAAATTTGATGTA